TGGTGACAAACGCAGCAGACAGAGGCAAGGCTAGTTGTCCACGGTGCTCTTCTCCCAATTTGTCCTTTTGGAGGGGAATTTGATAGACGCTCATGGAGAACGAGAGCATGTTGGGAAAGCCAAGGGAACAATATTTCCTGTGCACCATTTTTATTTGCATTTTTAATCCCACCTTTATTACGTTATAAGTAACTCAAAGTGGGGAACATACATAGTACTCCTTCCTCCTTTATTTTACCCACAACAACAATTCTATGAGATTGGTTGGGGTGTGAGAGACGGACGGGCCCCCAGCTGACTTGGTGCCTAAGGCGGAACTAGAATTCACTGTCTCCTGGTGACTGGCCCAAAGTCACCCACACCTTTCACGCCTAAGGCAGGACTAGAACTCGTTGTCTCTTGGTGTCTGGCCCAAAGTCTTCCAGCTGACTTGGTGCCTAAGGCAGAACTAGAACTCGCTGTCTCCTGGTGACTGGGCCAAAGTCACCCACACCTTTCACGCCTAAGGCAGGACTAGAAATCCTAGCCTCCTAATGATTGGTCCAAAGGGCAGGATACAAATAAATAAAAATAAATAAATAAACTGACTGGGTCGGCTTTCACACCTAAGGCAGGACTAGAACTCCCTGTCTCCTGGTTTCTAGCCCGGCAAGTTAACCACTACTGGCTCTCAATGATGCAGGAATTGGGAAGTGTGGCGGGATAGTGGGAACAAGCAGAAGTAAAAGCCGTTTAAAAACTTCCATTAAAATAGGTGGCCAATTCAGACTGGGAAAGAGAAGGTTGTGAGGCCAGCAAAGCCAGAGGGGGCAAGGATCAGGCATGGAGGGAGACATGTCTGGGATGGGGAGAAAAGGGAGGGAAGGGAAGCAGGGCAGCCTTTCCTTAAATCTGGCATGTGCCACAGTGTCCAAAGGGCTTCGGCATCCCTTTGGCAGCCATCATCTTCATTAGGAAAAGTCTTGGGTTTTTCAGCTCTGCTCTTGCTTTTGGGGGAAAGGGGGGTGAGCAGTTGTGAGGGATGCAGGGGAAAATGGATACCTTGAGCTTTGCACTCTCACTTCAGTTCCCCCCCCCAAAGACCCTCCCTCAAACTGGATGTGCAAAGTGCAAATTTCAACCCGTCCAAAACGATGCACCCCTGACTTAAAAAGTCATGTCTGGCTCAAGCAACTGGGGCGCCAAGCTCTGATTTCCTCTGAACCGGATGATTGCATTAATCCGGGTTGTCCCAAACAACACCAGAGCTTCAGAAGGCTTTGGTTGATGCAACCTGCTGCAAAGCAGGAATTTTTTGGGGGGGGGAGGGGGAAGAGGAGTCCTGCCCCTCCTTAACAGAAAGACTGCAGTGGGTTCCTTTTTCAGAGGAAGGTTGCTCGTGCATAGCCAGAGGCAAACTTCCTTTGCAAAAAAATGTAAATGCCAATAACCGATTAATAGAATAGCAGAATCAGAAGGGACCTTGGAGGTCTTCTAGTCCAACCCAGGCAGGAAATCCTAAGCCATTTCAGACCAATGACTGTCCAATCTTTTCTTAAAAACTTCCACTGTTGGAACACCCACAACTTCTGGAGGCAAGTATATATGGCCTTCTTCAATTTGAAGAGACACTTGTGTGGCAGGCTGAGGCAAAGAGGCAGTCCCAGAACCAGCAAAATCTGGGAGCTGGACAGGGGACAGATTGTATCTGGCCTCAGGGTGGAAGGGACTGCCACTCTTGAATTGGCCTTTTCAGCCACGCCAGATGCTACTTTAGGACCTCTTTCCAGAGCACGATACCATAGTCTCTCGAGACTGAAGGATGCCAATGATTTATGTGTTTCTCTCTCTCGCTCTCTCTGTGTGTATGTGTGTGTGAAAACAAATATATATATGTTTTCGTAGATATTCACGGGTATAGGTATGCAGGTCTTGGTGTATTCAGGTCTTTTCCCGGTTAAGATTGAGAGTATCTTGGCGATGTTTCAACCTGAAGATGACGAGTGGGACCTCGTCGAAACGTCGCTAAGATACTCTCAATCTTACACGGGAAAAGATCTCAATACACCAAGACCTGCATAGGTTGCCTACCCCTGTTATAGTTAAATATGATATAGCTAGTCCTGGACTTACAACTGTTCACTTAGTGACTGTTTGATGTTACAATGGCACTAAAAAAAGGCGACATGATTGGGCATTGCACCTGGGACGGGGGCAGCCTTCTCATGGTCAGGTGATCCAAGTTTGGATACCTGACAACCGGTGTGTATTTACAACAGTTGCAAAATCCAGTGGTGTGTGTGTGTGTGTGTGTGTGTGTGTGAGAGAGAGCGAGAGAGAGAGAGACACGTGATCGCCATTTCTGACCTTCCCAGCTGACCTCTGAAAGCAAAGTCCATGGGGAAAAGTCAGATTCACCTAACGACGCTGCGATTTGCTTAATGACTGCGGTGATTCCCTTCACAGCCGTGGCAAAAATGGTTACAAAATGAGAGGTGGTTCGCTTAACGACCAGCCTACTTAGCTATGGAAATTCTAGCCCTCATTGGGGGTCAAAGGTTTTGGCTGTGAAAATTACCTGGGCTGCTCCCTATTTTGGCTTAACACGGTGGGGCAGATGGGGCCTCAAAAAGAAAGGGGGGGGCAGAGACTACCCCCCAGGATACACACAAGTTGTGGGATTCAAATAGGTGAACAACCGGTTCTCTGTGTGGATGCCGCTTCCAGAAGTCCATTCTGGGCCTGGGCAACAAAAAATTAGCTACCGGTTCTGCTGAACGGGTGCGAACCGGCTGAATCCCACCACTGTATCTATTTCTTTCTGTCTATCTCTCTATCTGTCTGTCTGTCTGTCTGTCTGTCTGTCTGTCTGTCTATCCATCCATCCATCCATCCATCCATCCATCCATCCATCCATCCATCCATCCATCCATCCATCCATCCAGTGGTGGAATTCAAACGTGTGAACAGCTGGTTCTCTGTGTGGATGTCGCTTCCAGAAGTCCATTCTGGGCCTGGGCCACAAAAAATGAGCTACCTTTTCTGCCGAAGTGGTGCGAACCGGCTGAATCCCACCACTGATACACACCCATCCTTGGGGGGGGGGGAGTGCAGGGAAATGAAACCAGCCCCTTCCTTCAGTTCTCCACCCCTCCCCACCCCCCAGGAAATTGCTTGTTTCATCAGCAGTGAAAGAGTCAACCTGTCAGATGTTCTGTTTCCCTGCCTCTCAGTCCTTGGCACTAGTCCCCGGTTTTTATGCAACCGATATGATCACTTCATACTCACTAGGGAACATGCACAGGAGCACACAAACACACCCGCCTGTGTACACCCGCACACCAGCTCGTTATGTCAATAACCCTAAGAGAAGTTTAGAGAAGGCTGTGGCCCTGCAGGGGCTCGTCACAGAGGGGGACACCTGGTGGGCCCCTCTCTCTGTGTCTCTCTTTCTCTCGGCTTTCAAGATGTTCCTCCGCCAGGTGTGACCCCCCCAAAAAGTGACAGGTTGGAACTGCAGTTGGAAAGGCTGAGAACAGGCCAGATTTAGGCTCAGCATCCTGCCCAAAGGGGACATCTGTGCCCAGTGCATGTTTCCACTTCACCCTTTCCTCAACCTGGCATGGGGACTTCGGGAGTGGCTGTTCTCCCCATCTCCTGTCAAGTCCTTCAGGTTGCCAAGCTAGAGAGAAGTTCCCTGAGGTTTCAGCAAAGCAATAGCAATAGCACTTAGACTTATATACTGCTTCACAGCCTTCTCTAAGTGGTTTACAGAGTCAGCCTGTTGCCCCCCAACAATCTGGGTCCTCATTTTACCAACCTCGGAAGGATGGAACGCTGAGTCAACCCTGAGCTGGTGAGGATCGAACTGCCAAACAGCTGGCAGTCAGCAGAAGTAGCCTGCAGTACTGCATTCTAACCGCTGCACCACCAGGGCTCACCCTTCCTTCCTTCCTTCCTTCCTTCCTTCCTTCCTTCCTTCCTTCCTTCCTTCCTTCCTTCCTTCCTTCCTTCCTTCCTTCCTTCCTTCCTTCCTTCGGACTTAGCAATAGCCCTTAGACTTATATACCGCTTCACAGTGCTTTACAGCCCTCTCTAAGCAGTTTACAGAGTCAGCCTATTGCCCCCAACATTCTGAGTCCTAAGGAGGGAAGACTGAGTCAACCTTGAGTCGGTGACAATCGAACTGCCGAACTGCTGGCAGCCGGCAGTTAGCAGAAAACAAAGTAGCCTGCAGTACTGCATTCTAACCACTGCGCCAGCATGGAAGACAAAATGACCCAGTGACGGAACCAGATTGGATCCTGCATCATTCAGGTTTTCTTAAGAACACTGAGAGCCCCAGGCCATTCAGGATGCTGGTGGCAGCATTGACAGCCGGTGACCAGCATTTAATCATGCCTGACCTCACCTGGACACAGCAAAATTAGGCCACTGGGCCATGGACTTGTTGACCCAGGTACCACGGCCATTCCACCTGGCAGTGCTCCGGAGGAGATGAAGGCATTCCGTGCCCGGAGCGTGGCAAGGGTGTGTTGGAAAAAAACCCCAGGTGTGCTTGGAATGGATGGAAAACAGGAGGTTACAGAGTGCAACGTAGTCAAGAACCAAACAGAGCTGGGAGAATTTGGATTTTCAAGTTTCACAGCAGCCGAGGTTGCCGAGGCTTCTTGCCCAGCAAGGAGCAGGAAACCAAATGGTGGGTGAACTGCCAATTAACCTCCTGCCCCCTTTTAAAAATAATCTGCTAAGCAGATTTAGCAATTTAGCAAACAGAGGGCAACTTGGGTACGAGAAGAGAGGTCGTAGGTTGTGTGAAGGCTGTCCCTGGGTTAAGATAACATCTGGACTCCGTGTTGCTACAAAAAGAGAAATCTCTTTCTGTATTGATTTGGGTTCAACTCACCTTTCAGTAGTGGGTTGCAGCAAATGGGGGCTCATCCTCCCCTCCCCCATTTCCCTGATTCCATGGAAAATGCACAGCCCCCCCCCAACCCAGTTCAAATTCTGGAGTCTCTTACCGGATTCTCCTTGCTCAGGATGTCTGTCTGGCTGTCAGTCCACTCCCACTGCTGAACAGAGCAACGGCTAGTGGGGCGCAGGGTGGGGGTGATGACTTCCGGGGTGGAACCGTGCAAGCCAGGGCCCGGGGAGCGCCCCCCTTTGCGGCTGTAGGACTCCAGGTAGTCCTGGACATAATCCGAGTGTCTGCTGGACGGGTAAAATCCTTGGATGCTACAGAGCTCTTGTCGGGGGCGGGTGACGAAGGGGCTGCGGGTTGAGGTGGAGGGATAGGGGTCCGAGGACAGGTGCATGGAGGAGAGGTCCCGGGCCAAGTCGGAATGGCTGCTGGATTTCTTGCGTCCCAGCGGGGTGGAGCCATAGCTGGTCGAGGGCCCGTTTGCAAAGGAGTAGGTAGCCCCTCCACTAAGCCCTCCAGAGGGCCGGACGGGGACCCGACTGTACCCGGGGCTCAGCCTGGTGCCCGAGTCCGGACGCTGGAGCAGCCTTCCGCCCCCATCAAAGTTCAAGGAAGAGGAGGAGGTGGCCCCTGACGTCCGCAGGTGGGTAGAAGTCAAATAGCTGGAAGGAGTGGTGGGCTTGTAGTTGAGCTTCTCTTTGTCTGAGTAGGAGGAAGAGAGCTTGGAAGAGTAGGAGGAATAGGTGGCATAGCTGGTGGAGGCTTTGCTGCAAGGCAAGGTGTCCGAGTAGCGGGGAGAGTCCACGTAGCGCTTCAAGGTGGAAGAGAGCTGGGACATCCTGAGGGAGGGGGCGCTGGGGGAGATGCGGGTGGCATTGACTGCAAGAGAGCAAAAGCAGGAACCAGTTAGCTGGAGGGCTGGCATGAAGGGGGTCCTTGCCCCCCTTCAGGATCAGTAGAAAGACAAGACCCAATGGCCTTCCAACAATGGTTGGCCAACCGATTATTCATGTCACACCATTGACTGAATCCATGAAGTCAACTGGGAACATCTGCTAGTCAACCAGGCATGATCTAGGAAGCCTAGAAGGGTTGACTCTGGTCAGTTCTTGGAAGGAGAAGTGTCTGGCATGGGAGGACCATGGCTGCTGGCTGGACTGGGAGACCAACCCTTCCCTTCCCCCAAGTTGATTCAACCCACCACTGTATCATACCCAGAAAATGTGAATGTGTCTACAAAAGTCGCCAGAAGTTGGGCTCAACTTCAAGCAGGCATGACCTGAATCCAAAATCTGGATTTCAAAAGTCTTGAGATAGAAAGAGGCGGCTTCAAAATCCAGACGATTGCCAAGAAAACCACATAGAATGTGTCCAGATAATTTTCTTGGAGGCTACAATCATATCTAGTGGGGCATCTTCATCCAGGATGGTATTTTGACTTTCAATTCATTCTACTTCAATGGTCTTCCACTCAAACCACAATTGCTATTACGACTAGTGTTATTACTTTTACTGCTATCACGATCATCATTGTTATCTAAACAGAAAAATGCCATCAACAGAATGAAAAATAAGTTAAATAGAGGTTGAATAGGGAGAAAAAAACTGGATAACAAAATAACACAGCTGGAAGGTACTTTGGAGGTCTTCTATTATAGCCCTCTGCTCAGGCAGGAAGCTCTACACCAGAGCTCCCCAACCTTTTGGACACCAGGGACCGGTTCCGTGGAGAGAGATTTTGAAGGATTGAAGGGGGTGTGCTTTTGTGATATCTCACAGATGGGGCTTTGCTTGTTTGTGTGGACCAGTTGCTGGCATGCTGTGGCCTGGTAACCAGACCACAGACCAGGGGTTGGGGATCCCTGCCCTACACCACTTCAGACAAATGGCTGTCCAATCATTTCTTTAAAATTTCCAGTGCTGGAGCACCCACAACTTCTGGAGGCAAATTGTTTCACTGATTTAATCACTGATATGGTGATTAAGTTAAATGTGAAAAAAAGAAGGAAAAAAGGGAGGGAGGGAGGGAAGGAGGGAGGGAGGGAAGGAGGGAGGGAAAGAGGGAGGGAGAGAGAGAGAGAGAGATCCATATAATAACCATTGGCATTGATAGCAAGTTAACCTACTCTTTCAGCTAATGAAATCTTGACCAAATATACGCATTTTGCTCCACCTTCTCATTTCTGGAACACGCAAGACTTTTCCAAAATAGATAACAAACCCATTTCCTGAATATGTTTGTTAGTATCAAGAAGGTAAATGTCTTCCCATTTACATAAAACCATCCTCTCTGTCATGCCCCACTTGTTCAACCCTTCAGTTCTTTGATTCTATGAGTGCTCCATTTCAACCCACCTGTCCCCCCCCCCAAATATTCTGTGCCATCCTTCCCGATGCATCGTGTTTCCATCATTTTAACCCGGCTTGGCCTCCCATGATGAGGATTGTAGCCCCACATCTGAAGACTGATGACCTTGAAAAAAATCCCACTCTTTAAAAAAAGAAAAAGAATTGGAAGTGTCAGGAGACAAGAAGGTGATTTGTGCCTCCTGCTGGTAAAATGTCATTTTGCAAAAGAAAACAGGTAATTTAAGAATTATAAAGTAACTATACAGGCTTGGTTCACACAAGTTCAGCCAAAGTGGGTCAAAGAAGCAAAAACTTCTTTTAAATTATTGTATGCATGACATGAAGCCACCACTCCCAGTTGGTTTAGCTGGTGCTGACCTTCATGCACACCACGTTCTTTCTAAGTTCTAAATGTATCAAATCGGTGAGGATCCAAGCGATGTTTGCCCTTTTACAGTTGACAGATGGAAATTTTGCCAATACATGGGTTTTCTAAATGTCCTTTAAATTTTTGTTTTGCACATACTTAGACTAGATTTGGCATTTTTGTCCACCTACTGAGTCCTTCCAAAGGACCTGGGATAGGTAGATGTTGTTGTTTGATGGTCATGGTGCAGGATGTAAGCTGTTCCAATTAAAGCTGCTTTTTGCAGTGGATTGATAATGATTTTGTCAGTGCCAATGGTATTCAAGGGATGGTCAAGATCTTTTGGGACTGCACACCAATAGATATAGGTGCCATCTTTGCTACTTTTTGCCACCATGATTCCACTTCTATTTGCAGGTCTTTGTGATTTTCCCCCAATTCTTTCTCTTCTCTTCTCTTCTCTTCTCTTCTCTTCTCTTCTCTTCTCTTCTCTTCTCTTCTTTTCTGCTGTCTCCAGGTACTGCAACATCCACTGATTATTATTATTTAAAAATATCATTTAGTCTTTCCTCAGACACAACCCACAACTCTAGGGATACAAAGGAGAAGTGTAAGTTGAAAGGTTGGAAGAAAGGCAGAGGGGTATGTTTACTTTCCATGACAATTCTGGAATAACTCTAAAGCTCAGAGAGTAGAATAGAGTTGGAGGGGACCTGGGAGGTCTTCTAGTCCAATCCCCTGCTTGAGCAGGAGACCCTATACTATTTGAGACAAATGAGACAGTCTCTTCTTGAAAGCCTCCAGTGATGGAGCACCCACAACTTCTGGAGGCGAGCTGTTCCACTGGTTGATTGTTCTCACTGTCAGGAAGTTTCTCCTTAATTCCAGGTTGCTTCCTTCTTTGATCAGTTTCCAACCATTGTTTCTTGTCCTGCCCTCTGGTGCTTTGGAGAATAGTTTGACCCCCTTGTCTTTGTAGGAGCCCCTCAGATATTGGAAGACTGCTATCATGTCTCCCCTAGTCCTTCTTTTCATTAGACTAGGCACACCCAATTCCTGCAAATGTTCTTCGTAGGTCAGACTCTGTGCTTTTTAAAAAGCCTGGATTTTACACCATCCTTTCCCAACCAAATCTCCAGATGTGCTGGGACCAGATCTTTTCTCCTCCAGCTTCTCTGCTATTTAACCCTTGTACAACCCCAGTGAAAACTGGGAGAGAAAAACTCCACCATCTGGATTCCTACCTGCCCTCCAATTCTTTAACGAAACCAAGCGGGGACGGAAGATGTTAATTCTTGCATGGAAGATCTGGGAACAGCCTGTTCTCCAGGGAGGAGTCCTCTTTCAACACACCATTGACACCTGGAGAGAAGCTTTCTCCAGCTCACCTGCTCGGGATGCCTTCCAAGCAGCTCACCTTCTCACGTGACCCTTTGCTGCCGCGCGTGCTTCTCTCGGGTCACTAAGTGCTAGCACAAGAGAGGCTGCCCAGGTCTCGTGGGAGCCTGTCACTGCAGCGGTGGCACATGATAGCCTGGGGCACACAGGGTCCAGCTCAGGAATCTCCGACATCTCTCCAACCCCAGGGCTGTAATGTTCTTCTGTACACAATAAGTGACACACAAAGGCTGCCTTCTAGTGGCCTTTGGAAAGCAACACACTCCTTCTTGCAAGGTTCCTCTGCTCAACCTGAGCTCTTCAAGAATCAAGAAGCCAGCTGGCTAGCTTCTTTATTTTCCAAACAAGACTGAAATAAGGGCACAACACCCCCTTGGTCCTTTTTCACAAGGCCTTTTGGTGTGCCTGAAATACAACTTGTACCTGATGTTCTTCTGCTTCTGATGGGTTGGGTGAATGTGTCCTCCTGGAGCCCTGAGGGGACTTTCCACTCTACCCTCTCTGGTTTTTTTTTTTTTCTTGAAACGCAACCATTCATGTTTATCCATCCATCCTCCATCCATCCTTTACCCATCCTTTCTATTCATCCCTTCCACTATCCATCCATTCTTCTATCCATCCATCTTTCATACAAGAGCTCAAAGCAGCCTACACAGCCCTGGGTCTTCCTACTTTTCCCCACAGAACAAACCTACGAAGTAGGTTGGGCTGAGAGACTGTGACTTCTGCTGCGTTGGATGAATCCTTCTTGCTGCAGCCCAGATGGGACTTTCCATCTTGCCCTTCACTGACATTTCTCTATTTTCTTGAAACTCAATCCTTCAATGTAACCAGAAAAGCAAAATTCCTCTCCAGGCAGGGTTGACTTGCCAAGGCTCCACGAGCCCAGCTGGTCACTTTTCTTGGCAACCAACTAGAAGTAGTGGACCACCTCTTCTTCTTGGGACCCTCTGTTAGCTTTGGGATGCTCCAACAGTCCCATTCAAGATCCTCCTTACTCAGTTAGAGCCATGGTGTCCTACAAGGTCCCTCGCCTGTCCTGCTTCTGTCTCTGGTTCAAGACCAAGGTCTTGACCAACAAGGCCATTTTTCCTAGATTTCATCTATTCAAGTCATCCATACCGATGTTTATGCTACCAAGTCGCCCTCTTTGTGTACAATAAGAGGGCAGTTTCAAGATGGCACCTTGATTCACAAAAAATGTCTCTTATGTATCCTGACTTACAGCCTAAATGTTGGAGATGTGGCTGTTTGGATGCCACTTATTATCATATTTGGTGGTCGTGTAAAAATATAAAAGCTTTTTGCATTAAGATATGGTGGAATATTCAAAGAATTTTTAGAAAGAGGGTAAAATTTACCCCGCAATTATTTTTGTTAGGTATTGTTATTGATTGTGATGCTAAGGAGGTTATATTGATGTTGAATTTGATCACAGCCGCAAGGCTGTTAGTAGGGCAATATTGGAAGAAGGAATCTTTGCCTACTTTGCAAGAGTGGTTTTTTAAAGTTTCATATTTGGCGGAAATGGCAAAGATTTCGGCTTTTTTAAAGGAGCAATCGCAAGAGAAATTTTTTGCTGTATGGGAAAAATGGATAAATTTCATACAACATAAATTGGATATAAAAATATCATTTAGCCTTTTTATAATTTGTATATAATTTTTGATATTTTATAGATTGTACTTTTTTCTTTTTTTTCCCCTTTTTTCCTTTTTTTTCTCCTTTTCTTTTCTTCTTTCTCCTTTCTTTCTTCTTTTTTTATTTTTTTTTCTTTTCAAGTATCTTTTCTTTTTAATGCTTATGTCATATATATTTTATTATTAACTATTTTATAAGTTGTTAAAATTTGTTTAAAATTTTAATTAAGCCTATATTCAGTTCTGGGAAGCTCGGGGGGGGGGATTGGAGGGGGTGGTTTGGGAGGGGTTGGCTGAGGGTTTTTTTGTTTTGTTGTTGTTGTTTTTTGTTATTTGTAAAAAAATTTAAAAAACTTTCAATAAAAAATAGTTAAAGACTAAGAGGGCAGTTTCAAGACCGGAAGTCCTGATGTTTGTAGAAACACCACAAACTTCTTGGGGGAGGGAAACTCCATGAGAACACCCTTCTGAGTGTTCACCCTCTGGGTGAAATCCTCTCTCAAAATTCAGTGAGGTGGGAGGTGCCACTGGGTTCACACACAAGGCCAACCCCCAGATGTGCTTTGTTTGGCTTTGTGCTTGCACACCTGTGTGAGTGTGCATCTTTTAAACCTAAGCCCAGCTTAGCATCCTAAGTGACTCAAGGTCAGGGGAGTCCAGGAGAAGCTAGGATAAGATCATGCCTTCCATGACATCAATTGTCATCTGCCTGATGCACCTCACATCATCCACCCAGTCCTGTGAGGCCTGTGACAGCACTCTTCTTTGCCTCCTTCCCCCTCCAGAGCCCTGGTTCCCCTAGACAAGGATCATGGAATTGGTTGCTCTCCACGCATCCCTCACCACGGTGGGTGACCAGCAGAGATTGTGGGAGGGAAATATTTCAGAAAAAATGGAGGAGGGCAGTGATCCCCCTTCCTTCAAGCAGTGATGGTGTTACTTAGTTGGATTATGAACCATCTGCAAGACCAATCAAGGAGAATATTTGTAACTCAGGGTTGAAATGAGGGGTCCTTGTGCTCTGTGAGCTTGGTGGTTTTCTTGTAGCATTTCATGACCCAACTAGGTCACATCATCAGTGCTATCAGTGCAGAATGGATGATATTACCTAGTTTGATAATGAAACCTGCAAGAAAACCACCAAGCTCAGAGATCCTCAAGGACCCTGCAGTCTTCCTCCTCTTCCTCCTCCTCCTCCTCCTCCTCCTCCTCCCCCCTTCTCTCCACAAACCCTTCTAGCACTGATGATGTTCCCTAGTTAGGTCCTGAAATGTCTGCAAGGAAACCACTCAGCTCAGAGAGCACCAAGAACCCCACAGCTCAACTCTGAGCTATAAAGATTCTCTTCTCGTGGTGCAAAAAGGACATTCAACCCAACCAAACACTCCCCAGTTGATCAGAGGTCTCAGACTACACCTTCTGAGGTCTTGTGTGAAGCTGGAAAGGATGGTGTCTACAGTCCAGCATCGTAGAAACGCTGCTCTTGAATTTCCAGCCAGAATGCTCGTGTTTCCTTATGAATCATTGATGCCAGGAGCTTGTGATTGCCACTGCTCCAGAAAAAGGCATTTTTTGTCGCCTATGTTCAATTCGGGGCTCCGTAGAAAACGGGTGATGGGTCTCAAAGCAGAGGAGGAGGATTGTCGAGAAACTTTGCAAGCTTTTTTCCTTCCTAAAGATCCTTTGCAACTTGAGAAGATTTCTTACACGGACGAATTGGCACATAAAATGCCATGGAAACTGCTTTTCATTCTGGGCCTTCCTAGCTTCTCTGGGCACTGAAACTTTTCAAAGCATGTTGAGATTGTTGGCCTGTTGATTTCTGGCAGCCATTTGCTCGTTACTCTGCTTAGAGTCAGTATTCTTAGTTGTAAAATGGGAATATGTGTAAATGTAAGTGTATATATATATTGCTGCTCAAAGCACGAAGCTGAAAACACCAGCCTGAAGATGACGAATGGGACTTCGTCGAAACGTTGCCAAGACACTTCCAATTTTACGTGGGAGAAAACCCGAACAACCAAAGACCTACATACAAATTACCTGCGAAATATATATATATATATATATATATATATATATATATATATATATATATATATGTGTGTGTGTGTGTGTGTGTGTGTGTGTGTGTGTGTGTGTGTGTGTGTGTATGTGTGTGTGTGTGTGTGTATCTATCTATCTATCTATCTATCTATCTCCAAATTTCTTTTTCTGACAAAGAGTTAAAGAATTAAAATGGAAGACTAAGATGGCCATTTCGAGCAAAGCAAAAGAAATTGTAAAAAAAGTAGAACTGTAGTATAGCAGTCAAAATGCCAAGGTGTAGTCAATCAAGCCGGTCTGTCTGAAAAACTTCCTGTACACACACGCACGCACGCACGCACGCACGCACATCAATAGTGCCCATCTCAACTGTATGACTCTGGGTGGCTCACAAACAATAGGAGGACAAAATAAAAGCACTAAAACAATAGAAAACAAGCAATTTCAGAACAATAAAAGCCACGCCACAAAATCCAGAGCGGGGTTAGCCTAACATTCATCAATAACAGTCAATACAGCCACTGACAGGCTCTACCACACCCTAGGTGCCTACATCTGATGGCACACCCACCATTGTTTGTGTGTATGTATGTGTGCGTGTGCGTATATCAAGATGGAGTGAGGAAGGGAAGAAAAGAAGGAAGGAAAGAAGAAAAAGATAGAGAAGGGAGAAAGAAGTGGGAGAAAGAAGGGAGGGAGGGAGGGAGGGAGGGAGAAGGAAGGGATGGAGGGAAGAAATAGAGGGAGGAGAAGAGAAGAGGAGAGGAGAGGAGAGGAGAGAAGAAAGCAGGCACCTTAAACTTAGAAGAAAGCATAGAAGAAAGAGAAGAAAAGTGGCAGACATGAAATGGTGAGACGAAAAGAATTCAGATCTTCCCAAAACAGGCGATCCATTTTAGGCTAACCCAGCTAGAAGCTGCCCTCCTGGACATGCGAGCAGATCCCCCCAGACCACCTTACTTTCCTCCTACGTATCTTGCATCAGCTCTGGAGATACCCATCCCAACACTCTTGGACCTCCTTTGGGCTTGGGCTAAAGCTTAACTGCCACCCACCCCCTCCAAGCAAGTTAAACAATCAGAAAGCCCCCAAACGCAGAAAGCAGCTGGAGAAGGCCCTCCCCTCCCCTTCGGACTGCAACCAAGCCCCTGCCCCCTCTGCCAAGCTCTCCCCCAAGGCGGCACAGAGCGTGCCGGCCCGGGCGGGCGGGAGAGACCCCGTTCAGCCAAGTTCAGCCAGCCAGAAATCTTCCGCGTGGCAGTCCAGCCAAGGGACCCTCCTGAGACCAGCCACAGGCCCCGCAGAGCTTACCTGACCCCCCTCCAGCCCCCAGGCAGGGCTGCTTCCCCCAGCCTCTGCACCCCGAGAGAGGTTTTCCACCAGCCCTGCCGGGACGACGTGCCAGCCGGCCCAAGGGGACGTTGCCAGCCCCGGAGAAGGTCGGTCTCTTTGGCTAGCAGCTGCTTGGCTGCCCTCCTCTCCTCCAGCCTGGTTTCCTGAGGCTCGCGTGGAGGAGTTTGGCCAGTTGCTGAGGAAACAGCCCTTTCAGGGTGACTGGCCATAGGTTGAGGGTTGGCTGGGTGCCCTGGCCAGGCTCCAGCTGGCCCTCGGCAGGCGGTGTTGGAGAAACAAGCAAGGGTTGCAGGAAAGAGGCTCTCTGGTGGCAGCGGACAGGGGAGATGAGATGGCCTGCAAACAGAGCCTCCTTCCCGGGTGGGGCAGTGGGAGCATCTGTCAGGGGGAAGGAAGAATCTGTGGGAAGCACTGAACCCCCCAAATGGGAACTGCCCTGCCCATCCATGGCACGCTGGCTAGAGAGAGGCAGAGTCCCAGAGAGGCTATTCCTTCACGTGCGTCATGATGCCATAATGCAAATCATGTCACTTGTGCCGGAATGTTATGGGGTGTGGAGAGCACGGGCCCTCCATCCCTGGGGATGCTCTAAAGCAGTGGTTCTCAACCTGTGGGTCGGGACCCCATTTGGGGTGGAACGACCATTTCACGGGGGTCGCCAAACAACGCAGTATGCCATTTTTCCCCCTTTTCCTTAGCTGTGCTACTCCCTTTTATTCTATTGGCTTTTGAAAGCCAATAGAATAGACTCTCTTGAATAGAGTCTAATGCTATTGGCTTTCCAAAGCCAATAGGAATTGTCCAGGCTGTCTCTGCCCTACTGAGCCCGCCAAAAGTCCCATTCTGCAAACGGTGCTGCACCGGTTGAGTAGTCCTCGACTTATGACCGGTTGGGGGTCGCGGCATTAAAAAGGTTGAGAACCACTGCTCTAAAGAGAGGGACCACGATAGCCAGCAAAGCATTGTGGGGAAGTTCTGCTCTTTGGGATTGACTGGACCTTCTCTGAGAGCCGAGATTTTTCCAGCAAAACAGTTCCGTGTTTATAACCATAGTTTATATTATTTTTAATCCATTGTAAGCTGCACAGAGCTGCTCTCAGTGGCGAGATGAGTGAGTATTAATAAATAAATATTTTTTTTTAAAAAAGGAGGGATACAGGGAGTCACCTCTTTCAATGCTGGATCAAATGTGGGAGTTCGGTGCTAAAATATTTTGCCAAAGAAAAGAGGATTTAAGCATGTCTTCTCCCCTGAGACTCATTGTTGCCTCTGGGTAAAATTTCCATCATAAATGGAGTTGGGCTCAGTCATCTTTTCTCCCAAATGCACTTGGGAAAATGAGACTAAAGCAGCATTATTCCATTTTTTACTCTTCTTCCAAGATCATTAGTTAACACGATGAAGACTGATGATCAAATTCATCCACTAAAGCAGTATTTCTCAACCTTGGCTATTTTAAGGCATGTGGACTTCAACTCCCAGAATTCCACAGCCAGCATTGCTGGCTGTGGAATTCTGGGAGTTGAAGTCCACATGCCTTAAAATTGTCAAGGTTGAGAAACACTGCACTAAAGCAATGTTTCTCAACCCTGGCCGTTTTAAGATGGGTGGACTTCAACTCCCAGAATTTTGCTGGCTGGGGAATTCTGGGAGTTGAAGTCCATTCATCTTCAGGTTGGAATATTGGGAGTTGAAGTTAAAGTGTTCAAGCAATAAGAGAGTTGGACGGGACCTTGGAGGTCTTCTAGTCCAGCCCACTACTCAAGCAGGAAACCCTATACCATTTCAGACAAATAGTTATCCAATCTCTTCTTTAAAAAGGTTGAAAACACCAGACTAAAACCTCTGGAGTGAATTTAATTCACAGACTCTTTCTGTCCAAAAATCAGTGCTGCACCCAAATGTCTGCCAATTAACACAACAGCCTGAAATGTCCCTTTCACACTTTGGAAGGGCTCTTTCAAGGCTAACCTCCTGAGTCTAGTCCATATTGGAAATGAACCAGCCACACCTGTGATTGGTATGGCCTGTTTCTAAGATCAAAGCACATGCAGTTAAAGACTGTTTCAAAATGGGGACGCTTCAACCTCACCCTTTCTGCTCAACTGAAGCAGAGTCAAAAAATGTCTGTTGCAATCTGAACTCACAATATTAGTGCGGCTTGCCTGCCTCTGCTCTGGAGTGTGAAAAGAACCATTTGTTCATCATTTCCAACCTTGCCACGTATGGAAGAGTGGGGCTCCAACTCCTGTTTGTTTGGCTGAGATGACGGAATTTGGTCCATCTGGGAAGGTCCAGATGGAAGAAGGTTACATCAGAACCTCACCAGGGTCTACTCAGGGTATTCTCCAGCCACCCTGTTCATTCCAACCAATCAGTTCCTCTGTTTCTTGCACCCCTGTCCTGCCCATCTGCGGGAGCTAGGCTGAGTCAACCAGCTTTCAAGTGGCCTTAAGGTCTACATTCCCAAACATGATCCCACTGAACATCACAGGAAGAGCATGGTAGCCCCCTTCGTACTTAGGAAAGGCATCATAAAATATGAGTCATGTAATTACTTGCTTGTTTTATAGTTATTTGTATTTATAATTATTACTTGCTTAATTAGTTGGTTATAAAATGTGCTTATTGGAAAGGAAAAGCTACTGTACCAGACTCCTGGTTTTTAGCCAAGATGGATTAAAGTGGCTCTCTCCCTACACCGTTAGCAAACTTAGGATGTCTTCTAAGTTCAAGAATTGAGTGTTGGGTGTTCCATCAAAAGTCATTCAATATGAAACACTATTGACGAAAGACACTCTACATTGGACAGAACGTGCTATGCCAGGACCAAAGCAATCGTATTATGGTTTAGCGTATCACCACAAGCCAACCAGGGTTGGATACCACAGCCAATGTAGGACGGATGCACAAACCAGTATGCTTCCAGGCCCTGTGCAATTGTGAGAAGACAAACTCTAAGTTCTTTGCTTTGTTCTTCACAACCTGTCCTGACAACCTGACAACCTCTTCCTCCAGAATGCAAAGGCTCCTCAAAATAACAAACCACGTCTTAGCCCAACGCTCTCCAAATCTGCCTAAATTACCCCAAATTCAGTAAAAATGGTTTTTCCTGTGGGTAACAACATGCGAACTCACTACCCATCACAACAGGGGCATTTGAACAGACTTAAAGGTTGTGACATGTACTAAAATAGACTTGAAAATCTCCCAAAGTATCCCTAAGAAGAAGAAACTCGATGAAATTACCAACAGTAACTTGTTGAAATGACACGGAGATCACTCAAGGCTGCTGTTTTTTTATAATTCAGGTAGCCCTCAAGTTATGACATTCCTTCAGAAACCGTTCAAAGGTATGACGGTGTTGAAGGAAGGGACTTAACAACCAGTCCTCAAAGTTTGATAAGACTTTGGGATAAGCAAAAAGTTTTGGTAAAGAAGGAAAAAGTTAAGCATTGTTTCTCCCCCTCCACCATGAGGTAGACCAAATCGGTGGGTTCTGGCCTTTTTTTGGCGGTCTCAAAATTGCCTTACTTACCGCTGGAGGACATACCTTCTATGTTGGCTTGAGAAGCGGCTTCTTCACAGAAGAGTTTGGAGTTTGCTTGTAACCCATCCTTAGCCAAGCCACTCAAATACATGTTGCACACACAATTAGCACAGCAGGATATAATTAAGTGGGATGGAATTCAGCATGAGTAACCAAGCCGCCACCTCAGAAGGTCACGCCAACAGGTCATTTGTGAAGCAATGCTCACCAAATGCTTGTAAATAGAAGCAGGAGCCGATCCCTCATTTGCAATGCCTGTTGTGCACGAATGCATTAGCACAAAATGTGCTGTGGTGGCTTGGTAGAGGCAGGAAGACAGACAGAAAGACACAGAGAACATTGGGCCTGCCTCTCTTTCACCAAGACCATCAATCCTCAGCTGATCATAGGATCACGCTAAGACACCCTGAACCAGTCTAGCTTTGCCTCCTTAGAAGAGACTGGGGAATTCTGGGAGTTGAAGTCCACACAACCTTCAAGTTGTGTAGGTTGAGATAGACTGGCTTTTAGAGGGTTGAGGTCCCTACCTTTACAAAGAACCTTATAAAGGGTGTTGTGCAAAGGCAGCCCTTCAAATCAGAAGCTGGAGGAAACAGAACGAAGCAGAACGAAAGAAGAGTCGTAAGATACAAGGACAATATGTGTTTTGCACAAGGAGACCCCACTTTTACTACCCAGAGTAGTGGCAGAGATGTGGTCAGAATGTAGGCTTCTCTGTATTCCTTTTCTGCCCTCTAGTAGCTGTTCAGATTGTTGCAATCTGCTCCCCCAAACCTGCCAAAGGACCCATCTCTTGATCCTATTTCCTTTGGATAAATAGATTCCAATTTCCAATTGGAAATTGGATGCACAACCGAACATCCCCACAATGGTGGGCTTTGGCCAGCTTCATCTCTGGCAAGGCTGACCTCTCAAGACCAGCTCCAAACAAGCCCATAAAACCTGTAGTTCTCCCCCCACGTCCCCCAGCCCAGAGAGGATGCTCACCGTTTGTGTCTGCCACTTCTACGAGAGCTTTGTTCCTTGTGATGTTAGAAGCAAAGTGGCATCATCTCACAATGAGTGCCTGGGGCTGTGGGAGACACACAGAGAGCCAGATGAATCACTCTCACACACACAAACATGGGACACACCCGTGGGAACTCAGGTGCAGGCAAGAAGGGAGGGACTTTGGTGAAGGGAGAGCACAGCGTGGCATGGAGAGACAGCCTGGGGCATGGGGAGAAGACCGCTTCAGCTGCAGAAGCTGGTGTGTCTTCTTTCTCTCGGGCCTGGCCTGCATCGGAGGCATTTCTGGAGTATGCGGTGCCTTCAAAGGGCTCCAGAGAGGTTGCGGTTTGTAGGGACGCAGCTGACTCCTTGCAGGACCAAGGTGGGGCTGCCGAAACGACCCAGAAAGAGAGGACGCGGCTCAACAAGGATGCCGGAAAAGGAAGGGCCTGGAGGGAATCCAGCCACACAAGACGGACCTCAAATCATGCTGCATCCCTCCCAGGATTGGCACAGCGGTTAAAGGAGCCGGACTAGGTGCCATTCGCTGGGCGTGAAAGCCAGCTGGGTGACTTGGGGCCAGCCCTTCTGTCTCGGGCCAGATTGAGAAGTGGAAAAAACTTCCTGGAAGGATGGCAAGCCACTTTGGAAGAGGTTGCCCACTCAACTGTAGGGCTTAGTTCATGGGACCGCCAGGAACCCCTGC